TTTTTTTTTTTTTTTTTTTTTTAAGAACTATTGGTAAAGTTTTGAAAGAATAACTTGGAACGAGGATTTCCAGTGCTTATATCATGCTATAGACTTGGTCACCTGGTTTTTCTATGTCTATGTGTTAAAACAATAATAAAGAGTCATTGCTCCAAGCTAGCTTGTATAGATTAGGGCAGTGTTTCCCAACCTTTTCCAGCCCCAAGGCACACTTTTATACGTTAATAAAAATTTTCCATGGCACACCTGTTAAGGCATTCCCAATCCTCATACTTACTGTAGCTCATTGCTATGGCAAAATTCCGCAGCACGCCTATTCATTTTTGACGACACACTTTTGTGCTGTGGCACACAAGTTGGGAAACGCTAGATTGGGCATCCTGTCTTGTCCATTTCTGTGACGTGTGAGGAATCTGAGAATATATATATTTAAGGACTGTATGAATAATGAACCTTTCATTTTTCCATATTCAGTTTTCCCACAGTTTAGTTGTTGGAATCAACAACTGATGATGAGCAGATATTCTTCTTGTTAGAGTTCATACTCAGTGGAGACTAAATCTCAAGTGAGATGTCACTGGGACAATCTAGAGCTTGACGCTCTAACAGTTTCAGTGTTCACTCTTTAATACAGTTATTTTTTTATTTAAACCTTTTTACTTTGTAATTGTTACATCGTTGGAGTTATTGAGATGACAGTTGATATTGTACTTATACTATTGCATGCTATGAAATACATAGATGCTAAACACCAATTGTATTGCAATATCTGGAAGGTGCTACTTTATTAGTAGCATGATGGAAAAGCTATTGATATATTTGAGCTATTGGATTCATTTTAGTTGGGATATTTTTATTTATACCTGTCAGTGCTGCAAGACACTAATAAAATTAAAATATTTAGCTAGTGATGTTTTTTGAAGCAACTTTTCTAAATATTTTTAGTGCTTTTTTTAGAAACTCTGTTGTAACACATTTTAGGTGAGTGCAACTGTTAAATTAACTCCTAGAAATCATTCACCTTATAGTTAAGTGTTAATGTAACTTTGTTTCAGGTCTGGAATGTTGGAATCTGGAATTGACAGAATTATTTCTCAGGTTGTGGATCCAAAGATCAATCATACATTCAGACCTCAGGTGGAAAAAGCTGTCCATGAGTTTTTAGCCACTTTAAATCACAAGGAAGAGGCTGGTCCCAGTACATCTCCAAGCGAAGAAAAAGCAGACGCTTCTATCACTGTACAAGGTATTTTGCCTTTAGACTGTATTGTCTGTTTGCTATCTGCACTTCCTGGCAAAAACAACACTGACTACTACTTTTAGCACTAAACAGTAAATCTTGGCATCAGTAGGATCTCTGAAGAGTAATCCGTGATAATCATTTACTGCTGTCTTGTGTGCAGGTGGGGAAGAAAAGAGGAAAAAGAAGTTAATAATTATTTACAGCACCACTTATTCTGTAAAAAGAAGTACAAGAAATGAGTTTACCCTAAGTGGTGGTACAAAACTCCAACACTGTGGCTGTGTCCAGACATGCAGGTGCATGTGGTTTGTGGCCCTGCAAATCTCTTTGCAGTGCTGAAAACTGCATGCCATAATGGTAAAATGTGCTCCATGCTGCAGATTTGCCACTGGGATTTCCCAGTAGCAAAAACAAAAAAAAAATAGAGAGAGAAAGGGGTGCGGTGCAAACTATTGCTCTGGAACAAAAGGAGTTTCAGCCCTCCAAGGAGGCACTCTGGGTGGTGGTCAGAGTGTCTCTACTATTTCATTTTTGCTCCAATTGCTCTAGCATGCTGGGAGCTAGGAGGAGTGGGCAAAAGGCAGTTTGCCCAATGCAGGACAGTTTGTTCCTCACCAAAGCACACGTGTGGGGACATGTGCTGCGGCACAAATTTGTGCCACTACTATTTGTGCTGCTGCGAGTACGCACCCCTGCACATCTGAATACAGCCTATGACTTGCTCTGGAGGACCAACAATAACTCTGTGGAAGAAAAACTCTTACCTTTTCTTTTAGACTACTTGTTTATATAAGTTATATTCAAAAGCTGTAAATGTTCTAATGTAATTATGTGTAGAAAGACTCAAATATTTGCATTACTCTCAAGATTTGAGCAGTACAAGGAAGCATCTGGGTTCTGATCTGTTCAGCAAAACTACATTTCTAAGTGGTTGCTAGTTTTCAGATTTTTGGTTGCTCATGTTTTTTAGCTAACAAACTTCCTCAGTGAACTGTCCAACTAAGTCTTCTCCCTAGATTTGGTCTTGGGTACAGATTCTCCCAATCAGCGCACTTATTTTAAATACCAGCATTTTTTCTGTGGGCTGTACTTCCTTTTAAATGTGGTAAGTTAATCGGGTGGCTTAAATCAACTATAGCAGTGGGCAAGCACTAATTCATTTAATTCCTCCTTGCCCATTTTCAGAATCACTGCTAACGCCACATCCAAACGAGCACGACCATGTGGTATGTGGTGCTGCAGACCTGTCTACAGCGCCACACGCTGCACATTCAGGTGTTCCCTATGCTACAAGGTAGCAGCACTGGTGGGGAGAAGGTTGGGGTGGGGGTTGACACAGGGAGATCCCGGGGTCAAAAGTGTGCAGGGGGGGAAAAAAAAAAGGCTGGGCAGTGCACTCGGGAACAGTGTGCGCCACCCAGAACCGGAGCCTGGCCGGCCAGAGCCACACTTCAGCAGGCGGCCAGGCTCCAAACAGCATGATCACCATGGCTGCAGCTCCCCCAGGACCCCAGGTAAGGCTGCAACTGTGCTGGCCCCAACCTCCCCTACCCCACTCGGGGTAACCTGCTGTGCACCAGAGGGCATGTGGCACAGGCATTCCCCAGGGACAAGTAGTAGTGGTACAAGGTGTGCTGCTGCTTGTCCCTGGGAAACAGATGTCTACGCTCATGTGGACATGGTCTAAGAGGTAATGTAAAACATGCTGATCTGTTGCATTGAGTCTTCCTTCTTGTTTGTCGTTCTGCACAATATAATATCCACTACAATTACAGTTAATCTGTTATAATAGTGTGTCAAGATAATTTAAAAAATTATTAGAGGAAACGATACCTAGCATTTTTCCTGTAATCATCACCGGAACATTTCTTCCAAATTCCAACGCTACACTGAACTTCAGAGGAATGCAGTCAGGCCCTTCGTGGACTACATCTGCTTACCTTGGCAGCAGCAAAATGTTGTAAAGACCAAACATATCAAATCTCAATTGATTTAGTAGACCGGCATTCTTGTTATTGGGTTAAAAAAAACAAACAAATGCTGTTCAAAATAAAGCAAAACTCCCAACTAATTTAGTTTCTCGTGAAAGGTAAAGTCTTATCCACCTCCTCCAGTAAACTCCTGAGATTATAGACTTATTTGAAAAACGCTTCTCCCTCAAAAACAATCACTCAATATAACAATACCTGTTTTTGTTTAGCAAAAGCTCAAGAAATCTTGGCATGCTAAAATGTTTTCTTTTTCCTTTCTTACTCTTTTTTTGAAGGTGTTTCTACTGCTGCTCCCAGTGCTAGTGTAGCTAGTGATGCCATGTCCATTTTGGAAACAATTACTTCTCTTAACCAGGAAGCAAGTGCTGCCAGAGCTTCAACAGACAGTACAAATTCCAAGAATAATGACAGGTCTGCAAAAAGACTCCCATCTCAACACGGTATTGACGGTAGTACAGAAAGGGAGCGAAATTCAGAGGACTTGCCAGACAGAGAGCGAGTTATTTGTGATCCTGGAGGAGAAGGAATTGAAACAGTTGCTAAGTGTGAAGATTTAATTGAGCTCCCGTGTCAAAGTGAGGAGGTCAAAAATGTAATAAAAGATGCTAGCAACTTGGTTCATGCAAGCAAAGAAATTCTACAAGAAAGTGAAGACCAGAAAAGCAAACTAACAGAAAAAAGTGACAAGAAACAAGACAGCACTGAGAAAGGGGAAAGAAAGAAGGACAAAAAAGAAAAGGCTGACAAGAAGTCTGACTACACAAAGAAGAATGATGATAACCTAAAATCAAAGGAAGAAAAACATGTGAAAGAGCGTGAGGCAGAATCAGTAAAACAGTTGGTTCCAGAAAAGAACAATAAACACAAGGCAGCAGAAAGCACAAAAGAAGGTACAGGAGGAGAAAAACGTTTGTTTTTTAAATGTACTAGTAGGGAAGGGGTTGGGGAAATTTTTGGCAGTATAGTTTTTTGATACAGAGTTTTTCAAAGGTGAACTTGAAAAAGATGAGGTGCTAATGATGCTGGCAAGTGTAGTTGTTTAACTACAGGTTTTGTCATAATAAAGACAGTAGTAGTTCAAGCTTTACCTGAGGGGCCACAGCCCACCTCTTAGGGCATGGGTCAGCAATCTACAATCTGCAGGCTGGATCTGCTTTGTAGAGAGGGGCCTTCTCTGGCATTTCAGCAGTGGTGGGGCTCTGTCCACACAAGGCCAGGCAGCAGGGAGAAGCAGTAGTCATAGCATTGTGGGCAGGAGAGATAGGAGCTGGGTTAGGGGGAATGATAACTGGAGCTTTGGAGGCATAGGCTGATTTGGATCCATGCTTGGACCTAAGCTCAGTTAAATCAGCACCCTCTGCTGCAAAAGTATTGCAAACCCCTGGCCTACAGGTTAGATTTACAAGAGAGCTCCTAATTTTGTTTACTTCTACAACCTGAGTTGTTCCACTTAAATTAATGAGATTACTGTGGTTGAAGGAATCATTGTTGTGCATCTCTAAATCAGGAAATTTCTATAACAGTTAAAATATATTGCAGTTGCCTTATGAAAACAGGTTTCAGATGCAGATTTGATATGCTGTTTTAATTTTCAGAATATGCTATGGAAGATTCAGATATGGAGGTACTTAGTGATATCACTGTAAGCTCTGTCCATACAAGTGACCTCTCTTCATTTGAAGAAGAGAGTGAAGAAGAAGTGGTAGTTTCTGATACCACTGAAGAAGGAGAGATCACATCTGATGGTAAACATTATTTTAAAAAATACAATTTTCTTGTCACTTAAATGAATAATATTATATAGTATGACTTAATCTCTCTAAAATATAATTCAAAATATACATGTGCATAAGAGTTTTGAGGGGAGGAAAAGCATCTTTTGTTAGCAAAGATTCCTCTCACAAATCTTGTCAGCAAAGATCAGCAATAATAGATATTTCATCATATTGAAATATTAGTTCATGATTATTTTGTTATTTTGCAATCACTCTGTTTGTGTGAAGAATTTCAGGATGGTATCGGAATGCTTCATAAAAATGCCTTCTGCTCTCTATTCCCCTTCTTCCCCTACCTTTTTATGTTTTTGACTCTAGTTCTAACTTGAGTTCAGGTGTCTTGTGGGCAGGCTGTTTTGGAATTGAGGAATTGTTAAAGCATCACTGTGGCTCCAGAGGCTACAAGCCTTTCTCTGGACTTGTGTCAAAGGCTGTTCCCACTCCATCAAGCTGTAAGTGGGTATCTGATCATTTGGGCTGTGGAGTCAAAACTGGTAGCAAGTCATGCTAGCCACATTGTGTCCTTGTGTGCATTAGGCTGGAGAACTGGTTTTCAAGCTGAGCTGCTGTGTTTGGGTAGATTTTTGACTGACATGTCCTTAGTGGAGAGGACTTGGATGAGTCCACATGTAGGGATAGCAGAAGGAATCATTGTTCTTTCTATTTCATTTCTGTCCATTCCTAATCTTGGGCAATTCCAACTTTTTGGTACTTTTTTGAGGTTTTAGGAGATTTGGGTGGGGGGTGTTGGTTGGTTGGTCCGTAGGCAACTGGATTTTCTCATGGATAGGATAGATTGCTTTAGAATAGTATTGATACTGAATCTGCACATGGTGGGTTTGACCTGTAATATTTGATGGCTAAAAATGATCAGAAAGAATTGAGTTACTAACTTGATATTGTCTGATGTTGGTGGTAATATAATATAGAACAAATCATATTCAACATTTTATCAGTTCCGATGAAATATAAAATGAAGACAAGCCTCATGTTTTGGGGATGCAGATATGTTGTATTGTACAGAGCCTAAAGACTGGTGTTTATATGTTCATGTCGAATAACCCTCCCAAAATAAAGTTGATGTGCTTGTGCTAACTAGAATACTCTCCAGCCGTTGACTAATGTAAAGTGAAATGCAAATCATCTGGATGCTTTAAGGGGGGGAAAAAAAAGAAATCATCTGTCATTTTTCTAAATCAAAAAATTTCCATTCAGTTTTTTTTGGTATGTGGAAGATGGTTACCTTTTACTTTTGAATGGGCAAGAACATTTTATATTCCAACTTGTTATATGACATACAGGTGAAACAGACTAATATTTATGTTTTTATCTACCGTGTCTACTCAATTCTAAGATGACCTGGCACTTAAGATGACCCCTCAAAATTAGATTCTATATATAGAAAATGTATACACTTCTTGTATTCCAGGTATATAATCTAATTATTGCAGGGTTGTCTTTAAATTTGGTGGGGGGGAGTGTATATGTATCTGTCTACAGCAGAGAAAGCAGTGGCCAGGTGGAGGGTTGGTCAAGTGACACCCCTTCCCCCCCCCCCACCTTTGTCCCCTGCCTCCTTACCACCTACACCCTCCCCCAGCTCCCCACAGTCTCTCCTCCCCTGCCCCACCCTGATTTGCTATCAGATGCTGCTTGGGCTCTGTTCCCTGATCGGTCATGGA